ATTATAACAAGTACGATCGTACTTTAGGGACCAGGAACTGCGTAACCGAGTTTAATTTCTGAACTGCATTGTATTTATAACAATGGAGAGGACAATGTATTTCTAATCGTTTGCGTTTACTTATATATAGGCTGAATATTAATGATATGTATATATTATTTTCTGCAAATATATCAAGAATTGCTTGTAACTTGCTTCAAAGGTCAAAAGTAAAAATTCGAACTCCGTCAATCGATGCGGAATATTGCTTAAAATAATTGTGCCAAGTTTCATTCCGATCAAACAAGTAATGCTAGAGCCTTAGGGTTTTTTTAAAGAGCGTCGCCCCCTAACAACAACAACAACAACAACAACAACAACAACAACAACAACAACAACAACAAGAAAAAGATTAGCAGCGGTTAGGGACCAGTTCCTGGTCCAATAAGAACAGGGACCGCGGAGCGTTTTTCGTATTTCTGGGGCTCGGAACCGCGCGCCTGCTAGGAGAGTCCTGGAAATAGTAGATACTTTGTAAAGTTTCCAGCATGCTTGGCGCTCATATAAAAACATTAAACAATATAACCATGCTTTGGTTATGATGTTAAATACTTTGACATGGATAACCACGCTGTTTTAATGGTGAAATGCTTGTCCTATGTAAAGTGGCAAGCCATGTTTGGTGCTCATATACAAACATTGAACAATATAACCATGCTTTGGTTATGATGTTAAATATTTTGATATGGATAACCACGCTGTTTTAATGGTCAAATGCTTGTCCTATGTAAAGTTTCCAGCATGTTTCGTGCTCATATACAAACATTAAACAATATAACCAAGCTTTGGTTATGATGTCAAATATTTGACATGGATAACCACGCTGTTTTAATGGTGAAATGCTTGTCCTATGTAAAGTTGCAAGCCATGTTTGGTGCTCATATACAAACATTAAACAATGAAACCATGCTTTAGTTATGATGTCAAATATTTGATTTGGATAACCACGCTGTTTTAATGGTCAAATGCTTGTTCTATATGTAAAGTTTCTAGCATGTTTGGCGCTCATGTAAAAACATTAAGCAATATAAACATGCAACCAAAGAGGCTCCTCTTGCAAGTTTGACTATGGCGCCGTAGTTGTTGGCTTCACGCATGTCCTAAGCGGAAGGATTGAATTATGCGAGGAACTACGCTGTTTTAATGGTCAAATGCAGGTTCCAGCTGTGGAAAGTAGCAAGCATGTTCGGCGCTCATATATAAACATTAAAAAATATAACCATGCATGCATGCTTTGGTTATGATGTCAAATATTTTGACATGCATGGATAACCACGCTGTTTTAATGGTCAAATGCTTGTCCTATGTAAAGTTTCCAGCATGTTTCGCGCTCATATACAAACATTAAACAATATAACCATGCTTTGGTTATGATGTCAAATAATTTGACATGGATAACCACGCTGTTTTAATGGTCAAAAACTTGTCCTATGTAAAGTTTCCAGCATATTTGGCGCTCATATACGAACATTAAACAATATAACCATGCTTTAGTTATGATGTCAAATATTTTTACATGGATAACCACGCTGTTTTAAAGGTCAAAAGCTTGTCCTATGTAAAGTTTCCAGCATTTTTGGCGCTCATATACAAACATTAAACAACATAACCATGCTTTGGTTATGACGTCGAATATTTTGACATAGATAACCACGCTGTTTTAATGGTCAAATGCGTGTCCTTTTTGTCTCTCTTTTTTTTATTTTGGCCAAACATATATGTACTGAACATAACTAATTTCAATCCATTTGTAAACATGGCAGATTTATTACGACAAATATCATTTTTTTAATTGGTTATTTAAATATACGTTGAAGAAGTAAAAGTTATAAAGATAATGTAAGCAAAAAATACATTTTGGATCTATCATGTTGACACACTAAAAAAATTACAAGTCGCCGGTGGAATCACTCATGCGTCAAGAAGACGCTTTTATTGACATATGCATGTAAATTATGGGTTTATTTTTCAATTTCGGAGTGCGTGTATAGGTACAAAAACCTGGGATGTTCAAACAGTCTTCAGGGCGAGTGATTAGTTATATATATTTAATCGTTCTGTACATACCCGTTTGATTTTTATCCCTACATGGAAGTGATTAAGCCATGAAAATGAATATTTTTGGATAATCCGCCATGCTTGCATTGCAGAGAAGGGGGAAAAGACATCAGTCCTGATTGCAATGATAACGGCAGAAGTGTTTTTATATTTTTTATATTGCATTTTAATTATTATAATTCTCTTTTGAGATTCGTTAATTTTACAACTCTCTACTATCAATTTTCACCGATCTAATTATAGTATAAAAAGAAAAACTGAACCACAAATTTTCTCTGGGTCAAACACTTGTGGGAAGTCACATGTTCTGTATTAGGCATTTTGTTGAAATCACCGACAATAGTATGACGGTAGCTATATCGGGACATTTTACATTTGACAAAAAAACATGGGAGAAGAAGAGAAGCAATTAATGGGCCACTTTTCTCTGTTTCAAGGCGGAGATTTAAATTTTTTATGACTATCAAAGATAACTGGGTCATTTATGGCATCAAATATATTACTGACAGCTCCGCACGTTGGTTGCATGTGTTTCTCTGATTATAGATTTTTTAGGTCTATCTGTAATAATGTGAAAGGTTCATTCGCTGTAAAGATTAAAGATATAGAGTGCCAGCATGCTGCAGTTTCTCAATCTTAAAATCTTAAAACATGAATAGAAACGTCCATCATTTACTCGTAAAGCGTTGTAGAAATAATTTTGGACACATTGCACATATTTTTGCCAGCAGCACGAGCTTAGGATAAACTAAATCTGCGAGGCGGACGAAAAGAGATGCTGTGTTTGTTTCTACAGTTACATAACACGAACCAAACTTTTAGATTTGATTTGATAAAGAATGCCAAAGCATAATGTAAAACAAATTGAAATTTGATTCCTATTGCTGATATAGCGGCTGCACATGCACGTCGTAGATTTGGTGCGGCTTGATATGCTCGCTGATACGCTGAATTCCCTGATTCTATTCTATATGGTTTACTTCAAAGTTGTATAAAGCTGTATGACGCTCCTCGTGGAAACCAGCGCTTTGCTGAATAAGGCCAACGTACTTAAATAAAGTTTTACTAATTATTCCAACTTTTCGCGATTCCTTCGATCTGCTGCCAGACTATCATTTCTAAATCTTCAACTTGGTCGTTTGCTTCAACACGTTTGCTTCAACTCTTTGTATAATATTTCCCCTGTATTCATGTGATGTTGCATATGTTTTTATCGCGAGGTCTTCTTGTGCCAACTGAAGCAGTTTGTACACCATTCTTTTTGCGCTCAATAGCCAGGTTATTCTAAAAATTACCAACATCAGAGTTATTTCAGCCCTAATTGTTCTTAAAATTTCTACTGCAGGTTTTTCATAACGGTTAGCTTGACCTTGATCATATTAATATACTTTCAAACAGTTTGCGACTTTCTCCCATTATGCTATTATTACGGCATTATGCCAATTTTACCATTGCACAAAAGTAGCTCCATTAGTCGTTGTTTTTAATTATTTTTATTATGATATAAACGAGGTATTCTTGCGTTAATTTTAACCCTATCGTCGTATCACCATTCTATCGAACAAAAATATATTATATCCATGCAAAATTGACTCAGTTGACACCAATTCTGTCAGTTAGCTATGTTTCATAAATGCAAAATATATGGAAAGGTAATTTTTTTGAAGAGTATTTTAAGTTATTTGACCTGTTTATATAGATTAGCTTTGAAACCCTTTAATTTTAGATGCCTCTATTTATTGTTCACATTTCTTTTCGCATTTTTCGTTGACATTTTGGGTGAAGCTTTCCGAACAATTTAGTCAATAAATGGTACATGTTAATATTTTGGTTCTGCCCGACGGATTTTTTCTACGTATATACCGTATTTTGTAGAAGAAATGATCCCCCTAGTTTCCTGCAGCTTTTGTACATGTTAGCATATGAAGTACAGAAAAATAAAATTTTGTGCAATTTTCGCACCTGAATCGCGAAATTCAACTTCATTCAATAATTGTTTCATCATTTTTCGGTAAAATTAATACAAAATATCAATCATATCTATAAATTATAGTTTGTGTGGAATTCTTGAATCCAGAAAAAGCCGGGTTATGGAAGATAAAAAAATGGCGTGGTTTGCCACAGTTTATAAAATCTTATTTGCAACATATTTAAATGAATTAACCCTACGACACAGCTTAGATTTTGTAAATGTTTGACGTCGAAGTTCGACTTGATTTTAAAATACAATAATAATTTTTATTCAATCCGTTTTGATTTGCGTGATAGAGTGATTTTTGACACGGGCGTCACGTTTTCATAATTGAATTCTAAACTCTCTCGGCAGAAGTCCCTGACTAAGCTAGGTTCCAAGAACGTCAGTTCACGCGATTTCACGTTCACGATTTCAAAGCAAACGCTGGCCAACATCTGCCTTAATAATTCTTAATAAAAATAATGGCGTTCAACCACATCAAATAATTATTTATTGCTCTCCGCAAATACGTCAATTTCTAATATCGTGAAATTTAAATCAAGCAGATTACGCACCTGTTCCAGGTTGTTGTATGAAGTGGCCACGTCAGTATGGTTCGATTCGAATTTCTGTAATTGAATTTCCAACGCACGTTGATAATAATCATTAGCACGATCAAAATCACCTTTACTTTTACACACATCACCCAGCTTTCTGTATGAGGTAGCAACATAAGTATGTTTCGGTCCTAATCGATCCAATTCAATTTCCAAGGCACGTTGATAATAATCATCAGCAAGATCAAGATCACCTTTACTTTTACACACATCACCCAGTTTGCTGTATGAGATAGCAACATCGGTATGTTTCGGTCCTAGTCGATCCAATTGAATTTCCAACGAACGTTGATAATAATCATTAGCAAGATCAAGATCACCTTTACTTTTACTCACATCACCAAGGTTGCTGTATGAGATAGCAACATGAGTATGTTTCGGTCCTAGTCGATCCAATTGAATTTCCAACGCACGTTGATAATAATCATTAGCACGATCAAGATCACCTTTACTTTCACACACACTGCCGAGGTTGCTGTATGTGACGGTAACATTAGCATGGTTCGGTGCTAGTCGATCCAATTGAATTTCCAATGCGCGTTGATAATAATCATTAGCAAGATCAATATCACCTTTACTTTGACACACACTACCGAGGTTGTTGTAAGAGAGAGCAACATAAGGATGTTTCGGTCCTATTCGATCCAATTGAATATCCAATGCGCGTTGATAATAATCATTAGCACGATCAAGATCACCTTTACTTTCACACACAATACCCAGGTTGTTGTATGAGAGAGCAACATTGCTATGTTTCCGTCCTAGTCGATCCAATTCAATTTCCAACGCACGTTGATAATAATCTTTAGCACGATCAAGATCACCTTTACCTGTACACACATCACCCAGGTTGCTGTATGAGATAGCAACATTGGTATGGTTCGGTCCTAGTCGATCCAATTCAATTTCCAACGCACGTTGATAATAATCATTAGCACGAACAAGATCACCTTTACTGTGACACACATAACCCAGGTTGCTGTATGAGATAGCAACATTAGTATGTTTCGGTCCTAGTCGATGCAATTGAATTTTCAACGCACGTTGATAATAATCATTAGCAAGATCAAGATCACATGCTGTTATACATGCCCAGCCCAGGTTGGCGTATGAAGTAGCAACGTGCGTGTGATTTTGTCCAAAATGTTCTACCCGTATTTTCAGTGCGAGCTGATAGAATTCAGTGGAGAGTTTATAGTCAGATTTGTGGTAGTCAAGGGTGTCCCCAAAGAAATCGTATATTCTGCAAATTTCAGTTTTTTCAAAATCGAAACTGATGACGTATAACGCTTGATCAGGTAAAATGCTGTTATTATTCATTTCCTTCTTAAATGCTTTCAAATGCGGAATTAATTTGCTTTTATCTTCTCTATCACTGAAGTAACTCATTGTTTTTACAGCGTCGAAAATAATTTTGCTAATGTTTTGTGTGTTTTTTCTGTCCTTATTTTCAATACCAGTCTCGGAAATATTAGCTCCTTGAGTTTTGTTGAAAAGTGTTTTGACAGCTTCATGAACAACACGGTGAAGGCGGATATCACCATCATTACAAACTTGAACCAACAAAGAGCAGTGTTTTAATGTCGGAATAATATCCTCGGCCTCTAAATCTTCTTGCTGCTGAACATATTTTACAACAAGATCAAGCGGTAGTGGTTCAAATGATATCAAAGAGAAAAGGTTGAAAGCATGTTCAAGGATTGTGTTATTTTCTGCACATTTTTCAACAGCTAGCAGCACTGCTGTGCTCATGGTGGACGAATATGCTGCTGAATTTATCTGCTGAAGACGTTGCTCCGTTAAACCTCTTTTACCTTTCTCAAGCTTTCGCAAATAATCTCGCCAAGAAAAATCTGGGCAACTGTTGGTTACCTCTCTCATATACACGGCTGCCGCAGCCATTGCCAGTGGTTGACGATCTAGCTTCTCCGCCACCTCATCTAGTATTGGGTTATCGACTTCGGTACGCGATAATAGGACAAGCAGCTGGCGACACTCTTGGTCATTCATTCCATGAATAAGTGAGATATGCTTAGTTGAAATGCTGTCTTGTGGAACCGCATTTGTGTTTTGTGTTGTTAATATAACTTGGCCGTCCTTCCAAACTTCGTCTCCTTTCAGGGGCAGTAGTGGGGATATGAGTTCTAGATTTTCCACATTGTCTACGATGATCCACCACTTTTTCCAATTTTTAATTCTGCAAGATATTCGCGATATTAAATCTTTGATTTTCTCTTCTTTAGTTTTAGATGAACTTGAAACACTTTGCAATGCGCTCTCGTTACAATTCAGCCGACGACAAAAACGTTCATATGAATGAAGAAGAGAATCTAAATCTTTTCCATTCAATGTGATTACAAACATTGCTTCCTCCTTCGCATGAACAGCTTTCCAAATATCTTCACAAACCTGTCTGGCGAGTTGAGATTTTCCACTGCCTGGATTCCCAGAGATGTAAAAATATGTAAGTTTGCTATCGTTATCGCTGCGCAACTTTTCAAGGTCATCTCTTATCTCGTGTATCTTGTCAGAACGGTAAACGACTTCATGGGCTGGTTCAGGGGGAAGAATTATAAATGACGCAAACAGGCTTTTTATTCGAACGACCTCGTTGATTGACAGTCCCAATGCACCCAATGCATTCTCAACTGTTGTTGTCATGGTTTGAAAGTCTTTATTAGTTAGCGTTTTGTCAGGTATATTATGAGTTATTTCATTTCGCAGTTTTCGAAGAATATCGATTTCAGTCTTTTCTTTTGTACTAAGACTACCACCGATTGATTTGGAATAAAGAATTGCATCAAAAAGTACGGTACAATCCCACTCATTTGTATTTCCATTTTGAAATTTGGACAGAAGCATGGTCTTATTTGGCCTTCTTCGTTTTTTCTCCAGATTAAACAACTGACTACCGCTGACGTTTGTGTCATCCCATGCTCCGAGAGAAGCCTGGTAACGTTTGTTCCATTCCTGAATAAAGAAATCCCTCAACTCCTTTTCTACAGCATCAGTGACAATGTAATGCGCTCGAATGTAGTTTTGACTTTCCTCGCTTTCCCATGGCAATCCGGACATTCTGGTTCCTAGGAGCAAAATGGAACAGTCTTCATGGAAATGTTCTCTTAAAAATAACGCGCGCAGGAATAGGAAAGTATTCCATTTTTATCTAAATAGGACTTAGTTAAACCACTCTTCACGAGAACTCTTTGTAGGAGCGTTTTTCCACATTTGCAAATAATAGAGTAGAAAAACTAGAAACTAGAATTAAATACAATTTGATTATTGTAAATTAGCGGAAACCTTTTTGAAACAAACTTCAAAAACTGATGAAAACTGCCTTAAAACTAACTCAAGAAAGCCTGATCTGTATATTTGTCAAATTTAACGTATTATCAGATCAGAGATAACGACAGAAATGAGACCGTATCTTGAAAAGGCTATAGGCCTCCTGGGTTTTCGTTTCTGATTATCTGTTTTTATTAAGTATACGGTATCTAGACGTTTTCTACCAGTATATTTGATGAGCATCATATATGTACGTGGGGTGGACAATTCATTATGTATAGTTTTCATGGTAATTTTGGTATATTGGTACCTGACCAAAAAGGCACCGGGTATTTCGATATGTTTAATCATTCTTATCGCAAAAGGTGATGATAGATCTTACAAAAATTTCGACACAGTAATTTTTTAGAGATTATTTAAAGTACAAAGCGAAAATAAAACTCTGCATGAAAATCATAGTCTGCGGTGCAGATGCTTCGAATTACAAAGGAACACACGCATATAAGCGACTGCGCATTGGAGCGCCGATCCTTGTTCAGTCACATGGACACTTTCAGAAATTAATATTCGTGCAAATATAATAATTAGCAATTATTCATGGCGTCTGCTTCCCCTTCGTGCATTCTGTGTTTTCAGTTTTAACAAAACCTTATGATCGAAATTAAGTGGGCACTTGACAAAATAAAGAGATTGAAGACCTTTTTTTTGTCGTTCATTCAACCTCTCAGCATATATGTAGTGCGTGCCTGAAAACTCTGCCGCAAAGACAAAACTTTTGCAGCAATCTTTTGCGTCAATACCGTGAAAAAGAAGGACAAAGGACAAATGGATAAAACAAAGGCGACTGCCAAACGAACATTGTTATTTGATGGAAATGAAGACCCAGTAACTCTACCTATTGTTCGTCAAGGCGAAAGCACACACTGTTCTTCGTCTCCTGTTGAATATTTTCAACCTAAGTCAACTTCGACGCCTCGAAGACAGCAACATGAACATGTTGACGCGTCAAGTACCACTGTATCCGTTAAAGGGCGATGGAAAAGCAAAACTTCGTCTCGAATTTTGCGGGGAGATCTAAAATCGTTGCGTAAAATGTTGTGCAGAGGAACATACACAGAAGTTGCCCGGGCAGCCTGGTTCTGTGAAAAGATCAGAGAAAAGATCATCATTTTATTTTTGAAGGGGATAGATCGAGAGTGTGCGGACATGTTTTCAAGGAAGAATCAAAGTATTTTGCGCAACACTGGTAAAGAGGATATTGTTAATTTCTCCTTAACAAAACTTGATGGAGAACTTAAAAAGCGAACACCTTTGCTGAGAAGTGTTTTAATTGCAGCTTGCGTCCGCAAAAGTAGCTTGGAAAGAACCCAGTTATATTGAATGCCAGCTGTGTGCATTGCCTTGTCAATCAATCTGCATGAAAAATAGCCCACCATATATGACAGTCGTACAGTTACTCAACACAATTTTTATCCAGCATGCAGGATTGATGGTATGCTATTATCTACTACTGCCTGTAGTGTATTAAAGATATTTTAATATTTTAGTTTATCCACCCTCATTTACTATTCTGACAACGGCAATATTAAATTGTAGGACAGCCCTGTATAGCTAGGTTCCGTTACAATTTGAATGTAATTAAGAGATTCCATAAAAAAGCTGTGAAAAAGTGGCTGATTTAAGTTTCACTAAAATAATTAATATTGAAGTGAGGTCAATTGTATGGACATTGAGGATGGAGTTCATTTATCTACTTAAATGTAGTTAAGAGTTTTACACAACCGGCCTCAAGTATTTAAGGGCCTGTTTATATGATCCCGCCTAGCCGGGACGGGACAGTTTCCGAGATCCCGCTTGTAATACAAACACTAATTAGTGTTTATATGACCACTTTTCCATCCTGCCTAGGCTGGATCCCGGCACTTCTTGGCGGAATCCCGCTTAGACGGGACGAGAAATTGCCATATAAACACTCCATCCCGCTTGGCCGGGATGATTCGCGATTAACATACATTAGGAGCATGTGTATACAGACAGGGTGTATCAAAAAAATGTCCCGAATGTAAAATTTCCGTTTTTCAGGATATTTTGCAGAATTTGGCAAATTTTTGTGTTCCTAGAGATAGTTAAAACTTATCTGGTATACCTAGGCCAAGTTTGGTTTTTCATTAATAAAATTACGTTACCGGGGGGGTGGTTCCTTTCCACTGATATTGAGAGGGCTTGCGCGCGAAAATGTGAAGCTGAAATTGAGATATGATTTAGCTGTCTAAAAGTAGGAAAGCTTTTTAATAAACTGTCAAAGTTTCAGAAAAAATAATGCAAACTGGGAGCAACGCGCGACCCCTAAAGGTGACAAATATTTCATTGCCCGCAGTGGATTAAATGCATCGTTGATTTTAGCGTGACCGATCTCATGTAAGGCTGGGCAAATGAATAAATTAAAGTGAGAAGCTGAACACAAAAACAAAGCGATTTATTCGTGATGTTAATCCTCAGCATGTCCACCATTTCATTCTAAGCAAACTGCGGCTTGTCTGAGCATAGTAAACACTGAACAGTGTTTACCGTGCTCAGACGAGCCGCAGTTTGCTTAGAAAGAAATGGTGGAAATGTTGAGGATTAACATCAAGAATAAAGATCTTGTTATTAATTAAATCGCTTCGTCTTCTTGTTCAGTTTCTCGCTTTAATTTATTCATTTGCCCAGCCTTGCATGAGATCGGTCACGCTAAAATCAACCATGCATTTAATCCACTGCGCGCAATGAAATATTTGTCACTTTTAGGGGTCGCACGTTGCTCCCAGTTTGCATTTTTTTTCCTGAAACTTTGACAGTTTATTAAAAAGCTTTCCTACTTTTAGACAGCTAAATAATATCTCAATTTCAGCTTCACATTTTCGCGCGCAAGCCCTCTCAATATCAGTGGAAAGGAACCACCCCCCCGGTAACATAATTTTGTTAATGAAAAACCAAACTTGGCCTAGGTATACCAGATAAGTTTTAACTATCTCTAGGAACACAAAAATTTGCCAAATTCTGCAAAATATCCTGAAAAACGGAAATTTTACATTCGGGACATTTTTTTATACACCCTGTATATTGGCATATTCGTTTTCTACAATAAAACATGCCGTCGAAGGAACCTGCACTACAAAATGAACTCCATATAAACACGCCATCCCGCCTAGGCGAGTTTCCCGGCTAAGCGGGATGAAAACATCCCGTCCCGGCTAGACGGGATCATATAAACAGGCCCTAAGTATCATTTATAAAGATTTGAACGTCTAAGCCTGGCCTGCTAAAACATCGATGATAGCTAAATCTAATGCTTTCATATAGCCGGAATTTAAAAGTAAAAATTGCACCTAACAATATGTAAATGTTACACCGTAGTAATGTGTTCTGTGCATATATATTTTGCATCCTTCGTATATTGTTTGTAAAATGTGGCTTGTATTCTCCTCTTTCACAAATACCATAATGCTTTGCGCTTTGGGGGGTTATTTAAAAAATATTTCCTTTGTACCATTTGTTTACAATTTTACATTGTTAATAATGGGTAAAAAAGACTATTGTTGTGCTCCTGGATGTTCAAATAACCGAACGAAAAACCCTGAACTACAATTCTACAGAATTCCGAAAGAGAAAACTAGGAGAAAGAGCTGGCTGGCTAGAATTAGGCGTGATTTTGTCCCTTCTGAAAACACACGACTGTGTTCTTCTCATTTCGCTGACGGCGTCAAGTCAGATGAAAGAACCAGTCGAAATTTTATTCCTTCGATTTTTGAATACTCTCACTTGGCACAAACAACTCCAAGGACCACGAACAACAGTGTCACCAAAGATACAGCATTGGAAGTTATTACAGAACCGAAGCTGAAGAGGCAACGAAGAATGCCGGTAAGCCTGTCTAAACTTCCTTCTGATTTATCTTTTCCTCAAAGGTTTGATTGGCATCTTTTTATTCATAGACGAATCAGATACGCTTTTTAAAAACCAGTTGTGAATTCTAATAATTCATAAACTGTTCTGTAACATTCAACGTTTGCGCACTGTGCAGCAATTGTTAAAATCCTTTATATTTTAACTTAGGTACCCACTCGAAAAGGGAGGCCTAAAGGTAATCCACAAGATGATAACTTTGGAAGGCACAATGTTTGGGGAGTATGCCTTCCTTCGAGCCATCCTCTGAAAGCACATGATTATTGTAGAACACAGGCTTATCCAGACAACCTAAACTTTGATTCAGAAACCTTAAAGCATATCAATGACTTAGAAAGTAGAGTACAGAAACTTGAAGAAGAAAACAAAAATCTTCGCTCACGATGCCTCATTTTAGCCCAATTGAAGCATGATGATTCTAGCTTTCAGTTTTGGACTGGATTTCCTAATTATGGTTCTTTCAGTGCTTTGTTTCAGTACCTGGAGTGTGCTTTAGTAAACAAGAGAAACTGGAGGGGATCTGATTTGTTACGCAAGGTAAATGTAACAGAAAGAAAGAGAGGGGCCCCAAGCAAGTTATCACTTGAGGAGGAATTTTTTATGGTTCTGATTCGCCTCAGACTTGGACTCACCTTGACTGACTTGGCATCGTTTTATGCTCAGTGAAGGCAATATTAGCAAAATATTCACTACTTGGATCAATTTAATGTACTTTGAATTAAAGACCTCTGCCAAATGCCAGAATCCCTGGATGAAGGAAAGGCCAAGCACTTTTCCAATTTTCCAAATGTGAAGATTATCATTGATTGTACAGAAATTTTTACAGAGAAACCATCATCATTGCAAGCATGCAAAGAAATATATTCCAATTATAAAGGGCACACAACATTCAAGTTTTTAGTTGGAATTGACACACATGCAGCAGTTGTTTATGTTTCTCGAGCTTGGGGTGGGCGCACTTCGGACAAACATATTACATCAAACTGTAATGACTTACTAGATGCAATGAAAGAGGGGGATGAGATAATGGCTGATAGAGGATTTGACATAGATGATGTCTTAAGTGTTCCAGGTGTTAAAGTTATCATCCCAGATTTTAAGGGGAAAGACCGCTCACAAATGAGGGCAGTTGAAAGTAGAAGGTCAGAAAATATAGCAGTGGCACGAATACATGTGGAGAGGGCAATACAGAGAATCAAGATTTATCGTATTCTTCGAACTGAAATACCTTTGACTATGACACACTTAGCTGAGCAAATATTTACTGTTTGTGCCTATTTAGTTAATTTCCAGTCCCCAATACTACAATAGGTTGACAGTTAAATATTGAATAGAGCATTGGAAACAAAACTTTTCAATATCAAATATTTCAGAATCATACTTTGATATATATTTCCCTAACATATTATTTGTCTGTACAATAAATTACAGTATAAGTAAACTATATGTACAATTCAACTATTTAAAGTTTTCAACAATGGATAAATAAATTATTAATGCATTTCATTAATATTACCAGTGGGTAAATAACTTATTGTAAATTGTGCTGCACATATATATGTGGTACTATCACATTACTCCATTACATTTAGAAACCCTTGGGGCAGCCCTAATAATTCAATGGTATTTGTATAATAATTATTCCTCTCTTACAACAGTGCTGAGAGATTCATATGTAATTCCAAGTTTACCAATTCTACTGTGTCCAAACTTAACCCGAGGATATGCAAGCTCCAATAAAATAATGTCATAATAAAATTTCCTAAGCCTGGGTAGTTGCTGTTCCCAAAATTTCTGGCAGTAAGCAGTGTTCAGAACAAATATAGCCTTTCCATCTGAAGCAACAAAATCAGCCCATAACCTTCTTGAACAAAACAGCTGTTGTTGAATTTGGTAATAGTAGGGGTGATTGTTATTTAATGAGACTTGATCACCTGTTTCCTTTAATATACATTGCCTTTTGAGGGCATCCAGTAAGGATTCTGCAGTGTGTGGGTGGATCTTTTTTACTTCAATTATACCCTCATCCCCAACCAAACCATCTGGTGTTGCACCAAGAAACGGATGGGTGACAGATATGAAAAATCCACATGGTTGGACATTGACATTGTTTCTTTGTTCATACATTTCTATAATTTTGTGTTCTGAATCCTTTCCATCTTGCATGTATGATGTTTGGATGCGCTTGTTGTAGCCCAATATGTCACGCAATGCTTTAGTGGGACTTGTAGTCACTTTTTGAATTGCCCGCTTACACTTTGATGCAGTTATCCTTGGCATGCGGTGTGTAAACCACAGTGGATTGTTGTGCTGGCCTCTGGTTTCCCGTTCTATTGACTCAACTTCCTCTTGGCTTACACATATTTCTCTCAAAACATTTTCTGCTTTTTCTCGAATTTCTTGCAAGCAAATTGTATTACCAAGATTATGCTCTAAGATTTCTTCAATTTCATTATTGTCAGCATTTGCATATGAGCTAGTCTGTACCTCAATATCACAACAAATAGCTAAACTTGCATCATAATTCTCACAAATATAAACGTCTGGTAGATTATACTCAGATGCAGGTTGGGCAGAATCATTTTCCACCTTGGATAACAGGTAAACTATGGGAGGCATTGGTTTACCCATATTTGCTTCTAGAATTGCCTGCCTCAAGTTTGATTTTCGTTCTTCCTTTGTTAGGGGATTTTCATCACTGTTTTTGTACAAATCCTCTGTTATTGCAGGAGATGGTCGGAATTTCTTTTCAGGTGGTTGCTCTCCCACTTTAGCTTTGTAAATATTTATATTTTCAACCATTGCTGGTTTTACTTTGGCACCTGGAAAAAGAGCAAAGATCATTCCATAATAATTCACAGGCAGCTGATAGCAAAAATTCTTAAGATGATTCTACAAAGAAAAATGTGCAGAAATATTGTATTCTATTTCAGTGCTGACATGTTAGATTATGTAGGATTATTTTACCTTTAGGTTCTGTCCATGAGCAAGTAAGTCCGTACAAGTAGGGTCTGAAGGGATTTGCACTTTTCCTTCTGCAATAATGTCAGCCAAGACAAACAACAAAGCACCAACATGGCTGCAATTACCTCGCAAACTTTATGATGGAAAAAACACATTTACTACCATCACACTTACTACCATCACACCAAATTTGCAAAAATAGCTTACCCAACTGTGCAGGTACAATATGCAAATAATGGCTTGCTGGTCTCCATGTGCATGACAACATACATCGTCTTCATTTCTTCTGGATCGGTGGAGAATGATGGGTTGCAACAACCTCTTAAAACCCACATATTTTCATACTCTGGTAATGAATGAACCCTAATTTACAGCAAAACAGCCAAACGGAAATATATTAATATTTATATAGGTATAAATTTTTAGGAAAAAATGTTTCTGCTACAGACAAAGAATTGTGCACTAGATATGTTGTTGTAAATACTTACTTTAAAGAGTGAACTCCTTGTTTGTGCTCCCAAGCACAAAGGGTTTTGTATTTCTTGACGTCCGCTTTGGTATAACCCGCTCCAACTAAAAAGGTCTTTACCATGGACTCGTCCACAACTTGCGGTAAACCAGTGAGACTCTTGCTCCAGTTTTTTAGTTTCTGTAGCTGCCTTATCGACGGTAAGCTTTGGTCTTCAGCAGGTTGGGGCAACGGCACAGACGAACTCGTAGACGAAGTTGATATGTTTAAACCATTACAGACAAGATTAAGTATGGCTTTCTTTCCAAACGACTTTTCAACGTCAATGTTTAAACTTTTAGCGATATGTTTTAATTTTGTTTTGGACAGTTGTGCAACGTCCTTGAACGTCTTTAACGAGTTTACAATTGATACTTCCTGTCTGTCCCCCATTTTGTTTACATCGCAGTCCCCCCAAAGCGCAAAGCATTATGGTATTTGTGAAAGTGGAGAATTGTCAGGTATTGTCACTCCTCGCAGCAGTGCCCATATTGCGAGATTTCGATACAAGTGCGCAATGCATTACTGGGTCATCGAGGTACTAAACGCGACCTACACACGACGAAACCTAGACTCGCGTTTCCCTAGAGCACGAGTAATAATTACAATTTGTTCATAAATTAACAGCGAATCACAACTGATCACATATGAATCCCATTTTTTTGGGAATACCAACGTGACTGAACAAGGATCGGCGCTCCAATGCGCAGATGCTTATGCTTGTGCTCCTTTGTAATTCGAAGCGTCTTCACCGCAGGTTAGAAAATCATCGCTCAGCGAATGATTCGTTAAGGTAAATTTTGACGAATCAACAATCTTATGAAATAATATATATACACGGGCACAGGGGAAAGATAAATTACAAAATCTTCTTCGCTGATCGCAGCCAGCCACACACATATCAGTGTATATACGATCAAGCAATGAGTCAATTGAGACTCTTAATCAAAACAATAAACACAAAATATCAAATTCAAATACAAACCTCGTTTTGTACAACCTGGATATTATTGTTCTATTACCAAAGTGTTCCTCGAAAGACACAGTTTGGAGCCTTGAAGCGTTACAGCCTTATAATTTCAAAACGGATTACTACGAATATTGTACAGCCTTCAGGGAATTCCAAGCTATTTGATATCCTGTCTTAAATAAGAGGCCAATATCATTCATGGTAATGAAACACTTTCATGGATGTTAATCGATTCATTCATACTCTGTTGCTAAACACAATTTTAAATCTTAGTTCCCGTTTCCACTACACTTAATTTGTTAGCAAAGCACGGCCTGAACGGGTACAGAGCGGCCAGATGTTTTGTGAGCAAGCACTGATTGGAATGTGACTCGTGACCAAAACAATCAAAACAATATATATCAAATACTAACCTCGATTTTATTTCATGTTCAACCAGGTTGGAATTGTTCTGTTAACCAAAGTGTTCCTTACAATGGTCTCAAGATAAAATTTTGAATGATTACGGAGAAGTTAGAAATCGAAAGACCCGGTCTTCACAGTTTTTTCATATAATTTCGAAATGAAGACGAATATCGCAAAGGGAATTCCCCTTGTTATTTGATATTCCATCTTGAATACGTCACGTCTGTAGCAATGAAGACGGCTTAATGTCCCGCAAGTGATGAAAAATTTTACACCGAGGTTTTCATATCGTTTTGTCGCCATTACCATTTTTGATCTTTGATTTCGTACACTGAAATCAAACTGATTCAACTATTAACTTCATATTAAATATATAACTATAGAACCGTAAAAATTCCGTAAAAAGTAAAAATTTTGATTTTTAATTTTGTACGTTTCAACTAAATATAGGCATCGTCAGGTAAAAAGTGATGATAAGTGAAAATTTTCAAGTTTCAACTAAATAGGACTTGTGCATCAAATGTGGTATAACAACTGCCTAAAATAGACAAAACACTTCTCGACGTTTCGACGTAAGGGCCTTCGTCAGGAGAGATAAAAATAGGACTTATTTAATCCACTATTCACTAGAACTCTTTATAAGAGAGTTTTGTCACATTTGCCACTAATAGATTAGAACCGTTGCACTAGAATTGTGAAACTTTTTCGAACAAACTTCAAAAACTGTAAACTGTGGGTTTGATCTTCTCCAAATTTCATGGGATTGCCAATGTACAGCTATCTTGATGATTGGGAAAGTTAGGGTGGATTGTTTGAGCATGCACACAAATTGCAATAACAATCATAAACATCCACTTTAATTCAATCTGCGAGCAGGCTAATCAAAAGCGCGTCGCTACGAATTTTCTACGGACCGCCCTTCGTGCTGGCATTATCCCTTTTATCTTTTTACCACTACCAGCATTTACCAGCATTTCGATGAGCTGACCGCAGTATGGCAGACACATCACTGATTGTCAGTTAAAACCTGCTGAGGCCGCATATATACCGCTTCTTTTCGGGGGCGGGATACTTGTATTATTGATGTTTTAAGGCTAGTTTCCACTCAGGAAAGATCTTCTTTGGATCGGAACGGACAGGAAAATAATTTTTTTGTCGGTGTGTTTTTAGGCGGCGTTTACACAAAGGAAACTTTTTTGTCCTGTCCGACTCCAAAGGAAAATTTTCCTGAGTGGAAACTAGCCTTTACCCGGCGCGTTGTGTTTCGTAATGTAAGGAACAAAATAGGACGAGGCGGCTTGGACTGCGTTTGTTACCAAGCCTTTCTAAGGCGTCTTCTCTAGCCGCGTCGTGACTCGTAAACTCTCTAATATAGCTGAGCTAAAAATCACGCGTGTCTATTAGCTGAGCTAAAGACCTCATGTGGCTATTAGCTATGCTGCATGTTAGCTCAGCAAGTTACTCTTGTGTGCGGCAAGTTTTTCGTGAGGAATTCTCTAATGTCATTTCAGCAACGCGTTAGCTACTTGCTAACCATTATATTGCATTATATTGCATTATTCGGGAACCTGCTAATGGTAAGACAAAAATATGAAAAAAATTGTCTTTTATTGAGTTAAGCTCCTTGTTTTCGTAATGCATTTCAGTAAATTCACATGCATGTCTTTCCCCAGTAACGCAAAAGTAAATAATCATGTTATATGGACCGTAAAATTATGCAGAACTTTATAGTCAAACCGGATGTTCTCTTACGAACAACACTGCAATATTGTGACGCAATGTTGCAATTTTGATTGGCAAGTCAATCAAAACAATTAGGAACCGTCGCACACTATTTCCGGCGGCGTTTTTTTGTTAGTCACAAGTTCAAATTTAGATTGTTATTTGCTAAAAAGCCACGAAACGTGCTAACGGAATTGAAGTTAAAATTCTAATTTTAGAGGTATGTAACTTTATTTTAAGAAACAATCGTGCTAGAACCAAACCTAGATTAATTACTATACTGAACTGGGATCGATTTACAGCAAAATTTATGCCATCAAAATTTAAACGTTTCGGTTCCCATTAGGTAATTACCTCAGTCTTAATTGGCAATCATTTTTGATCTATCACGTTGTTGACACACTGTAAAAATTACAAGTCGCCTGTGGAAGCACTCATGCGTCAAGAAGACGTTTTTATTGACATACGTAAATTATGGGTTTATTTTTCACACAATTTCGGAGTGCGTGTGTAGGTACGGAAAACTGGGATGTTCAAACTTCAGGGCGAGTGATTAGTTCTATATATTTAATCGTTCTGTAAATCGTTTGATTTTTATCCCCAAATGGAAGTGATTAAGACTGTTCATAAAACAAATATGAAAATCAGTCGTGATTGCAATAATAACGACGGAAGTGTTTACAATTTTTATATTGCATTTTAATTATTATAATTCTCTTTCGAGATTCGTTAATTTTACAACTCACTACTATCAATTTTTACCGATCTAATTATGGTATAAAAAGAAAAACCGAATCACAAATCTTCTCTGAGTCAAGCAATTGTGGGAAGTCACATGTTGTATTAGGCATTTTGTTGAAATCACCGACAATAGTATGACGGTATATCGTGACATTTTTTCATTTGACAAAAAACATGGGAGAAGAAGAGAAATAATTAATGACCAGCTTTCTCTGTTTCAAGGCAAAGATTTAAATTTTTCATGACTATCAACCGGGTCATTTATAGCGTCATATATATTACTGACAACTCCGCCTCCGCGCGTTAGTTTCATGTGTTTCTCTGATTAGATTTTTAAGTCTATCTGTAATAATCAAAAAGGTTCTCATTCGCTGTAAAGATTAAAGATAAAGAGTGCCAGCATGCTGCAGTTTGTCAATCTTATAACATGAATAGAAACGTCTATCAGTGCAGCGAAAGAAAGCGTTGTAGAAATAATTTTGGGCACATTGCACATATTTTTGCCAGCAACACGAGCTTAGGATAAACTAAATCTGCGAGGCGGAGGAAAAGAGATGCAAAATTTTAGATTCAATTTGATAAAGAATGCCAAAGCGTCAGGTCAAAAAAATTTAAATTTTATTCCTATTGCTGATATAGAGGCTGCAGAAGCACGTCGTAGATTTGGTGCGGCTTGATATGCCCACTGATATGCTGAATTTCCTGATTCTATTCTATTTGGCTTACTTCAAAGTTGTAAAAAGCTGTATGACGCTCCTCGTGGAAACCAGCGCTTTACTGACAAAGGCCAATGTACTTAAATAAAGTTTTTACTAAGTATTGAAATTTTTCGCGATTCCTTCGATCTCCTGCCAGGATATCATTTCTAAATCTTCAACTTGGTCGTTTCCTTCAACACGTTTGCTTCAACTCTTTGGATAATATTTTTCCCGGTATTCATGCGATGTTGCAAATGTTTTTACGGCGACGTCTTCTTGTGCTAACTGAAGCAGTTTGTTGACTATTCTTTTTACGCTCAATAGCCAGGTTATTCTAAAAATTAAAAACATCAGAATGATTCAGCCCTGATTATTCTAAACTTTCAAACAGTTTGGGACTTTCTTCCATTATGTTAATTTTACGGCATTATGCTAATTTTACCCATGCACAAAATAGCTCGATTAGTTGTTGTTTTTAATGATTTTAAGCATGATATAAACGAGGTATTGGTGCATTAATTTTAACCCTATCGTCGTAGCACCATTCTATCGTGCCAAAAAATGTCATACCCATGCAAAATTGACTGAGTTGACACCAATTCTGTCAGTTAGCTATGTTTCACAAATGCAAAATATATAGAAGACAATTTTTTATACGAGTATTTTAAGTTATTTGACCTAGCTGTTCATAGATTAGCTTTAATTTCGGATTTATTTTTCATATTTCTTTTCGGATTTTTTGTTGACATTTTGGGAGAAGCTTGGAGAATAATTACTCAATAAATGGTACATGTTAATATTTTCGTTTTGCCCGACGGATTTTTTGTTCGTATATATACTGTACGTTTGCAGAAGAAATGATCCCCCTAGTTTCCTGCAGCTTTTCTACATGTTAGCATATGAAGTACAGAAAAAATAAAATTTTGCAATTTTTGCGACTGAATCGTGAAATTAAACCTCATTCAATAATTGTTTCATCATTTATTTTCTAAATACATAATATCAATCCTATCTACAAATTATAGTTTGTGTGGAATTCTTGAATCCAGAAAAAGCCGGGTTTTGAAATATAAAAAAATGGCGTGTTTTGCCACAGTTTATAAAACCTTATATTTTACAACATATTTCAATGAATTAACCCTACGACACAGCTTAGATTTTGCAAATGTTTGACGTCGAAGATCGATTTGATTTTAAAATACAATAATTTTTATTGAATCAGTTTTGATTTGCGTGATAGAGAGATTTTTAACATGGGCGTCACGCCTTCATTATTAAATTCCAAACTCTCTCGGCAAAAGTCCCTGACTAAGCTAGAATCCAAGAACGTCAGTTGACGGGATTTCACGTTCACGATTTCAAAGCAAACGCTGACCAACATCTGCCTTAATAATTCTTAATAAAAATTATGGCGTTCAGCCACATCCAATAATTATTTATTGCTCGCCACAAATACGTCAATTTTTACTATAGTGGAATTTAAATCAAGCAGATTACGCACCTGTTCCAGGTTGTTGTAGGAAGTGGCCACGTCAGTATGATTCGGTTCGAATTTCTCTAATTGAATTTTCAGAACCCGTTGATAATAATCATTAGCAAGATCAAAATCACCTTTACTTTTACACACATCACCCAGCTTTCTGTATGAGGTAGCAACATTAGTATGTTTCGGTCCTAGTCGATCCAATTGAATTTCCAACGCACGTTGATAATAATCGTAAGCACGATCAAGATCACCTTTACTTTTAAACACATCACCCAGGTTGCAGTATGAGATAGCAACATGAATATGCCTCAATCCTAGTCGATCCAATTCAATTTCCAACGCACGTTGATAATAATCAATAGCAAGATCAAGATCACCTTTAGTTTTACACACATCACCCAGGTTGCTGTATGAGATAGCAACATCAGTATAGTTCGGTTCTAGTCGATCCAATTCAATTTCCAACGCACGTTGATAATAATCATTAGCAA